TGTGTGTGTGTGTGTGTGTGTGTGTGTGTGTGTGTGTGTGTGTTATTGTTTTCAGTGTGTAAAGGATTGTTAATTTTGCTCAGACGGGGCTGGCAAGATAGATGCGTGGATTTTTGCCAGATTTTCTGACTGGCTTCCTTTTCATGGATTTCTTACAACTTTTCGTCTTGCACCTCTTCTTCACTTGTAGTTGCATAATTCCAAACGGATGAAGAAATAAGGTAAGAAAAATGAAAAACGAGTGAAAGTTAATATCGAAAACACTTGAAATCTGCAGCTAACACTTATGTAGATCTAATTTATTTTTGCTTTAGTTTAAACTCGCAGAGAAACTTACATTTTTTAGATTTGCCGTTGACAGGCTGCAGGCAAAGGCAAAGTCTGGTCGCCTTCATCTTCTTTCCTGTTCCAAGATGACCTGAATTTACAAGAACAAACAAAAGAAAAACAGTTGTTTGAAATTCATGCATTGCCAATTACATTTTGCAAATCTACCATCCAATACAAGTTTAAGTGTAATACTTCATAATACTGCATTTACCTTTACATTCACAGTTTGTTTTGTTATGTATTTGGGAGTTGAATGGACGTGAGGTTGTTAGTGGATGTCCATCAGAAGACGCTGCAACACAGCTGATATTAAACTTTTTAAAAAATGAACAATTATGTTGTCAAAACTAACTAAAACTTCAACTAGGCAGTTGAATAATGTTAACTAATATTAATCTCTCATACCATCGTTTCGAGACTGTTCATCATCCTCCAAATCACCTTGAAAAAAGATATAGAAAATCTTAAAACGATACAAGCAAGATTTGATATTGAATTTGATAAAAGAATATCCTACCTTGAATTTGATCAACGATTATAAAAAGGACAAGCGTTGACAGCAAAAGCAGTTGTGACGCCATGTTGTAGCGAAGTCAGAATTCAGCGCTTCCAGGGAAAGAAATCCAGTTTGTTGTACACCAACTGCTGCTCCTCTGAGGAAGGAATGGACCCGACTCTTTATAAAGGCTGGTGTCGATCTTTGAAATTGTATCCATGGTGCATTCTTCACCTGCCAGCGATTTCCCAACCATCACATTTAGAGTAGGGAAACAAAAGCGTGCCAAGAAATCTGATCGAGACTTTGATAAGATTTGCTGTAGGAAAATAAGGGTTTGGCATCAGTTTGACCTGAAATACAGGGCTCCAGGGAGTCTCGTTTTTATTAGTGAAATCTGGTATTATTTTACCTTAATGTATTACTTTTCATCTTACTTCTTCAATTGCAACAACATTTTGTCTCATTACACGCCTTAATAAAGTTGTGAGAAACAGACAGTATTGTCTTCTTCTTTCAGCTTTTCCCTCGTTGGGGGCCACCAAAGTGAGTCATCCTCCTCCATCTCACTCTGTCCTATGCATCCTCTGTCCTCACTCCAACTCCAACCATGTCCTCTCTAACTGCATCCATTTATCGCCTCTTTTTTTTTTTTTTGCCTGGCAGCTGCATTTATAACATCCTTCTACCAATATGCCCATTGTCCCTCCTCTGGGCATGTCCAAACCATCTCAGTCTGGCCTCTCTTTATCTCTCTCTGCATCATGAAGGACCCCACTCACCCAGCACACACACTTTTTTCCCGCTCCCCTCATGTTGATGTGTTCATGTGCTCATCTGCTCACACAGTTTCATGTTCGTGCTGCTGTTCAACGTAATGTTTTTATGCTATTAGTGCTTAGTGTATATTTAGCTGATGTTTTTCTTAGTTCATATCTTAGATCTTACTGTTTTTCTTTTACATTTTACTGATGGATGTAACTGGGACCCTGCGTACATAATTTTGTTCCACCACATATACCACATGAGATGCAAATGACAAATAAATATCTGACTCAACTTTATCTCCCAGTTGTTCAACCTGTGCTGTCCCTCTGATGTTGTCATTCCTAATCTTATCCATCCTTGTCACTCCTAAGGAGAACCTCAACATCTTCATTTCTGCCACTTCCAGTTCTTTCTCCTGTCTTTTTGTCCATGTCTCTGTCTCCAGACCATACAACATAGCTGGTCTCACCACTGTCTTGTAAACTTTTCCTTTGACCTTTGCTGACACCCTTTTGTCACAGATCACTCCTGAAACTTTCCTCCATCATGCCTGGACTCTTTTTCACCTCATTGCCACACTCCTCATTTTCCTGGACAGTGGACCCCAAGTACTTTAAGTCATGCACCTTTGTGACCTCTGCTCCTTGTAGCCTCACTGTTCCACCAGCCTCCCTCTCATGTACTCTGTCTTACTACGATTGACTTTCATTCCTCTTCTTTCAAGTGCATACCTCCACCTCTCCAAGTTCTCTTCCACCTGTTCCCTGCTCTCACCACAGATCACAATGTCAGAAATAAACAGTACATTCATGTAAATTCGTGTTGGTTTACGACAGTTTTTACGAATAACAGTTTTGCCGTTATTGGCAAAAGCACTCCATGCTTCAAAAGAAACTAGATTCAGTCAGTTACATATAAATTCAAATCCTCACCCTTGCTATGGACTCACAACAAACTGCCTCATCTGGGATTGTTTGTTTTTATTAAGCAAAATGTCTTTTTATAATCATGTAAGACAGATAGTAATGCAGACAAGATAAAAAACAAGTTTTAATTTCTCTCCTCAAGCTTCCAAAATGCATGTGCCTCTTCCAAACTGCACAAACCAGTCAACCAGGCGCGATTATTATCTTACGAATAAAATCTGTGTGTGCACTCATACTGAACCTCATGGTCGGTAATCAATCTTGGCAGACATGAAAATGTACAACAGCGCTGCTTCAGTGGAAGTCAAAGTCAGTCAGAATCAACAGACAGTTTGGATAAATCAATCAAAGGACACTAAAACCATATTGTTTTGAAATTTAATGCATTTCTATCATCACTTACACAATTATTCATCCTGGACCATTTCAAGTTCCCGTGGCACAATCAATATCCAAGAGGCTCTGAAGCACGTTAGTGTGAAGTAAAACATTTTAAATCACAGTTTGAGCCCTTATGCTGCAGAAAAGATCTAATTTGAAGCACAGCAACAAGATGAACACGATCTAATCAGATACATGTATACTTGCAAAAGAAAAGCCACTAACATAAAACTACTGCGGTTACAATACGTGTAGGAAAAAGATAAAGGCAATAACATGATGAAAAACAAGTGGGCAGGTCAAATATTTACCATGTAAACAAAATCAAAACCTTTGGTCATTGAAATAAACATATACAAAAAAACATAAAGAAAAGGAAATCTTAAAGTATACATTTTTCACAATAAACACAACAGGAAAAGAATAAAGAATTGGTATTAATGGTATTATTGGTGAAGGTTGTATTTCTGTTGGATAAGTTGGATCCCAGTTTGATCCTACAGATGTTTTTTTTTTTATTCTGGAAGGTTCCTGGACTAGAAAGAAACTAAGTAAACAATATTTACAGTTCTATTTTGTCTTTTTTTGAAAAAGCCAAAATCACGTCCAAGAAAATGGTCTAATAACAAATAAAAGTGACTCATGGAAACTAGTTCAACTGAGACACAACCAAAATATGACATCAAGTACAGAGCAGACTCTGGCACAAATGTGAAGTCTCAAACTGTTTTCCAACTAGATGCATGTCTTATTTTGTCTGAAAAACAGCGTACAGGGTTTTCACCATCAGCCCAAGATACATCATGTTTTAATATTTTATAAGAGTTTTAGCTGAAGTGATTCTATTTGTTGAATGTGATTATGAACAAAGCTTTGATTGTGGCATGAAAAGTGAAAAGACTTTCAGAATATATTAATTAATGGTTAAAGCCGCTGCATATATATAAAATATTAATAACCACTGAATATCTGAACTGGTGTAATGTTGTTTTTTGTGTTTGTATCCTGGAGATGCTTTCATCATATTCACCCATTGTTTAAAATGACAATGAAAGGAAATAATGTGTTTTAATGAATAAAGGGGAACAGAAGACAGAACACTTAAGGAGGACGATGTCTCTCTCTAGCACAACACGTTTCATTTTTGACTATTGTAAACACACAAAAACTTGTGGCCCTATTATCAGCAACAGTGGTCACCAACCCTGGTTTTAGAAAAGACTTGCACAGTTTAAGTGTTGCTCTAAACCTATTCACAGTGCAGAGACTTAACAAGCTCAGGGCAGGAGTCAGGAACAAGGACTTTCTGTAGTGTATACATGTCATTTTTTATAACCTTTGCCGTCAGTTCTCAGCAGGTTTATCTAACAGAGATTTGATATGGGCGTGCAGTGGTTTACATACAGCCTCGTAGCCGTGAGGGGTCAGATGAAGGTAGTCGTACATGTCCTGGTGGGAGATGCTGCCGTCCGAAAGGACAAAGCCAGGGTCCACGTTCAGAAAGGAGCCATGAGGAACAGATGATAAGGCTTCCTGGACGAGCTTGTTCACCTTGGCGTTTCGCTCTCGCAGAGGGTTTGGCATTTTACCTCTGGGCAGTAAACCCTGGAAAATAGATGGCGTAATTTCCTTAGAATATTGTTTTATATAAATTAATCGACTAATGGCATTTTATCTCATCCCTCTCCAAATCATTTGCAGCGTTTTAAATGTGGATTGGCAAATATTTACATATTGTGCTAAAGTAAATTATCTTCAACACTCTGTTTAACCTTATTCAAAAAAGAAAACACAAAAGAGGTGACATCACTCTGTGGTTTGATGGTTGTATGAATTTCATTTGTCATTTTCAACCAACATGCAGGTTAGTTGATTTAAGGCTGCTTTGAAAGAAATGGAATTGGAAAAACATACAAGTACAAGCGTGTGAGCGTTGGGGAGCTTGTTGTGAACAAGTTGGATGATAGCCATGATCCCGCCACAGATCTGTTCAGGTGTGTGACCGTGATTGTTCGTTCCGACCCACAGCACTACGACCTACAGCAACAAAAGAAGACAGGAAACAAAGACTGAGAACATGTCACTGATAGTTTAACGTCAACTGTACCTGAAACTTGGGATTTTAGAACTGAGTTGAGAATAGGCATTCTTTTGTGCGCATAAACAAGCATGCGCATGTTCGCTTTATTTGGTAGTGTTTTCAACCTTTGGGCTGATGTTATCCAGTTCACCGTTGCTCAGCCTCCACAGCACATGCTGTGTCGCATCACCACCCACTCCAAAGTTAAGGCAGTGCAGAGGAGAAAACAACTGCCGCCAAATCTGAAACATAAATAAAGATATGCAAAATAAACACGTTTATAAGAAGAATAAAGTGCATACATAACAGATGCATACAGTTAGATTCATATACATTTTAAAAATAATTCTGCAGTTATATACTTCAGAAATTTTTTTATGAATAAAGGCAGAAAGTGATGTTTTAATGTGAGGATATTCTAATCTAAATAGGAAAAAATGATTAGAAAATTAGAAATGACTGTTTTTTAATAAACAGAACTAACTTTTCATGAGGCTTTGATTTAAATAAATTAACATTTGTATAAACAACAACAAAAACTATTATTGTTAATTAACCTTTGTAAACAATGACAGGCTGAAGTTTGGGAACTCACTGACACGTTTAAACAAATACTATATAGTTCCTTTTATTGTGGTATTTTTCCAGGCTTTTTCTGCAGTTTTATGTTGTCTGTGGTTATTTTGTTCGTTCTATGTTTAGTTTGTCTTCTGTCAGTAAAAAAGTACTTTGTCTGGTTGGAATCATATGACTGGTTTAGTCACTGTAGCACTTGTCCTTATAACGTCCTATTATATAATTTCTTCTCTATGCTTTTACATTTTGTTTTGGGTCATTTTTCATCTGCATTCAATTTTTTTATTCAGTCAACTTAACTGATTTGTTTCTTGTTATAAAAGGAATAGAGTAACTCTACATGCTTTTTTATTTTGTAATACCATCAGTAAACAACAGTGATCCAGTGCCACAGGAAGGCATTAATTTTCACGCCTTTATGATCCTGCAATCGAAGATCACTGCTGTCCTCAAGTGACATCTAGGCTTTACAACATACCTAAACTCACTTGTACATTATTTATTTTCACATAATGTATTTATTTGGACTCTCCTATATTCTGCAATGAATTTGTTTGTTTTTGCAGGTTCAAGATGACCTGGTTTGATTGAGGTGAGTGCTAGTTTGACTACAAAATGTGCAAAAATATATTTGAAAAAAGTTTTATATATCGTTCTGAAAATCTTAAAAATAAATATGAATATCTACACGTGAAGCTTAAACTCACACAAAAACATTCATTTCAATAAGAATGTTGCTGTACTTCTATCCATATTAGGCTCCAAATCATACATTTATGTTATTATACTGTTTAGGTTCCTTTTGCTAGGCATTCTTTTATGTTTAAATTTTATTTTACTTAGTATTTTATTATTTTCATACAATTTTCAAAATTTACATTGCACAGACTATTTTTTAACTTCTGCCTTTTGCACAGTTTTTATATTATCTGCTACTGTGACAAACATTTCCTCAGGAGATCAATAAATTAAATATTGATCTCTTAAATGGTCAAACATTTTTTTCATCAAACTGTATATAAATGTGATCAGTGCATTACCCCAAACTGATGCATGAGTTGGATGAGAGAGTCTCCCACAAACAGGACATCAGGTTCTTTGTCTTTGCTGTATGATACGTAGCCATTGTGCTGCAAAAAGGAGAAAAGTAATGGACTGTAAATATGTAGCGCCTTTCCATCTAGTCAAGATACTCAAAGCGCTTTACACTACAACCTGTGCCCTCAATTATCCATTCATACAGCACTCTATTATATCTATACAAAGAATAATCAGTGCTTTGGATCACATTCATACACTGATGGGACACACATTGGAGGCAATGAGGGTTTGGTGTCTTGCCCAGGTACACTTCAACATGTGACTGTTGGTGGAATCGAACCACCAACTCTTCCATTGGAGGACGACTGCTCTAACCACTCAGCCACAGCTGCCCCTACAATAAAAAGTATCCAAAAAACAGTACTGATTGCAGAAAGCATTTGTTTAAACTAGGTGTATTAATGGATGTCATATCAGAAAAAAACCCTTGTAAATTTGATTCTAATCTAAAACTATTCAAAGTATGACTGGATTATTAAAGAAGAACAAAGTGGATTGTTATAATAAAAGCTAAATAAAGCCTCACATCTCATTCAAAACTTGCGGTTTGTTATATTTTTAATAAACTTCATTGACAATGTCGTGGAACAATCATAACGAGAACGTTTTCTTATTGTTATTATTTACATACCAGAGACATCCATCGTCCATCTCCCTGGATGTCTTCACAGGGAGTGGGTGTGGCGGCTGGGTTTGAGTCTTCTGCACTCATTATTATGGCTTTGCTAATATTGGAAAGGGTTCACGTACACTTATAAAATATATAAATATTGTCAACAAAAACAATAATCGGTTGGTCGATAGCCTACTGCCCTGACCGCAACAAAATATGTGGGGGGTTGCCTGAGTTAGCCACAGCAGCTAGCCTATTGATACAGAGGATAGGTGCAGCTTAAAAGACAATGAGTAGGCACACAATTGTTTAGAAGGCAATATTGTGTAAGACTTAAGAATCAATAGCTTCAAAACATAGCTACATTAAGAGATATAAATGTCCAATGAGTCGCATTAAATCAAAATATCCGTTAAGCGACCAATTCCGTGACAGGAAGTTAATTTTTACTGTATCCGATTGGACCATTGTCTTCTATGAGCAACAACATGAGCATTTCCAGCTACTTGACTTTATTTGCGCATTCTGCTGCCATTGGTACAAATGACAGATTTAATTTTTAAATATGTTACATGATAAATTAAAAAACAGGCGCATTTTAATAGGTAATGTAATAAAATATTTTCCGCGTCATCCCTATTGTTTGTAAAAATGGATTAGCCCAGCGCTTTGGTGCTCGTGAGAGTCAAAGCTGCGCAAACGAACGCAGCAGAGCCCTATAAAGAGAATTTATAGGGCTTTGTAGGGCTCTGGAACGCAGCTCCTGCGGTTTGTTGCCGAGCAACGATTTATAATAACCATGATGCGAGTAAAACCTGACACCTTCGGTAAGAAGTCTGTGTTAATTACTTTTTTAATATAATGTAAAGCGGCTTGAGTCATATTTTAAATGGTTGAGCTTTAACTGTACGTTATGGTTAATTTTCATTAGACGTCACAGCGCTGTAACTTCATACCATCGGCATAAACGCTTCACACGTGTGCTTCAAATTGGATTAACGGATTACAACTTGCTAACTGTAGCTAAGTTAGCTAGCTAAGTGGAAGATAATCAAAACTTGGGTTTTCCGTCCCGGCAGGGGGCGCACGGATATTGTTTTTCTCTTTTAACTAAAACGGTAACTTCTCACTTGATATTATCATCTACATTTAAACTTTTAATTCTTTTTAGGGTCTTTATATTACTGAGTTTTTGGTTGTTGGAGCCTCTCTGTTTTTTTTGTTTTTTTTTTGTTCTTCCTCGTGTTCAGATTTAGTCACACCTTGTGTGCTTATATATATATATATATATATATATATATATA